TTTTTTGCTGTTGTTGTGCCTTCGTTGGTCTGTGGTCCTCTGTTGAAAATCCGCTTAAATGTAATAAAAATAAATTTAAATTGAAATACGCTTTTTGTAGACGGACTCAAACAGTTCGCCATGTAAACATAGACGAACTTTGGGGGGTGGTTGAGTGCACTGCGAGAAATGTAAGCGTCCTTTAAATAGTTAATCCAGAAATACAAATTACTTAAGAGTGACAAGTAAATATTTGTATATTTTTGAGATAAGTCTTATTAATTAATTGATGATTTTTAAGTAGTTTCTTACATTTGTAATTTACTTGAAATGATGTTAGTATTTGTATTATTTATTGTTTTATATATTTATATTTTGTAATTTTATGAAAAATAGTATTTTTTTTGTTTTTATTTTTAAATTCTTTGTAATTGATATTTCTTATATTTATTTTTATAATAATTTGCATTATTAAAAATATATTTATATTTGGAATTATTAAATGTTAAAAGATATTAAAAAGGATAATTCAATTGTTCTAAAATGATATTTGTATAATTTTACATATTTATATATTTTTATATATTAATATACTTGCTTTGCCTTATTAAAAATTATCGTATCTTAAAACTAAATCATATTATTTATTAATATATTATTATTTTTATATTATTTATTTATATATTATTATTTTTATATTATTTATTTATATTAATACCTTTTTGGCCAAGTGTCTTCAGTCTTTGGAAGGCAAAAGTCGCCTGGGGACTGGGTTTTGGTCTCCGGTTTCGGGGCTCGGATGCTCCGTGTCTGATTGACCGTATCGCCTATCTGTATTTTTGGCCCATGGGGGTGTCACATTCAAGGGTCACGTTCTTCCCGGTATCCCAAACCTTCCAGGTCCCCTGTCCCCTTTTCTCCTTGTCCCCCTTCGAGCTGTTCGCTTCTAATTAAACCATTTTGAAGTTGATTGCGTTTACAATGCCGGTTCGCAGCTCGCTCCGCTTTCCGCCGATAAATCAAATTTAAATGTTTGAGTGCTACTCAAATTGACTGTCCCCCCGCTGTTTTTCCCCCCCTGGATAAAAAAAAACAGGAAAATCGAAGGCCTCGTGGGGAATTTGTATTGGAATTGGTCTCTGGATTTTCTCTCATTTTTTCCCCCCCTTTGCGTATTTTTAATGTTATTTAAATACATAATAAATCCGTTATTTAAATTCTTAAATGCTTGATAAAGGTGGGGGTGTGAGATCACATTTGAATTGAATTTAAAGTGTTTTATAAATAATAAAGTTAAAGTGTAGCGTAATTCCTTTAGTGCTTTGGAATTTAATTTGTATTGTTTTATTATTTACATGTTAGTACTTTAAAGCTGGTTTGTTTGAATACAATAAATAAAGTTATTAAAAATATTACTTGAGACTGATTGAGCTATGTTTTATTGTTTGAATCTAAACAGGATTAAAATTTACACAAGTAGAAACTCTCTTTATAAAATAGGTTTAATTTTCTATGATTTCACATGGCTGAAAAATATTATAATAAAATATATAATAATATATTTATATATATTAACATATTCTCTTGTATTCCTTAATAAATTATGTCAAATATTTCTTGGTTTATTAACTATATCCTATTAATTAAATTATTTGGAATTATTTTTCTAGTGACTTTAATGATACAATTTTAATAACAACTTGTCCAATGATTTTTTCTTCACTTTCTATATTTTTTAATCACTTGAAGATAACAATTTCCATTTATTTAATTACACTATAGTTTCCCAATCAAATAATGAAATCGTATTAAAGTTCCTTTAGTTAAATCGTGACCTTCTTTGGGAATCAATTCAAAGGTCGGAGCGTAGGTGGAGATATATATGTAAAACATATCATAATTGAGCCACTCGATTGTGCTGCTCCCCTTCGCTTTCATTGTAGTTTCTGTAGTTGGTGAAACTTTTCCACCCGTCTCCCTTCCGTTTTCCCCTTTTCCGACCATTTCCCAGGACTGCCTGTTCATATATGTACATACATACATACATATATCTCTCTTTTCGGGAACCGACTTTCATCAGTTCCCGGTGGGTCTATCTGTCAGCTCACACGGTGAGTACTTAGTGAGGGAAAAAAGCGATTTGAATTTTTGGCCAGAGCTTACAATACCAGCTTCTGCCTTAACCTATAACAATCTCTGGGAGATAGAGAGAAGGTGAGAGAGAGAGAGAGCGGGAGAAAGGGAGGGAGAGAGGGCGAAAGGGAGAAAGAGAGAGAGAGAGGAAGAAAAAGGGATAGCGAAAGCGGGAGACGCTTGTCAATTTTCATTTTCATCGCGGGAAACGCCAAAAGAGAAATTTAAATGAGGCAATTTTTTTCATTTTTGCTTCCCATTTTCTTTTTTTTTTTTTGAATGTATACACAGAGGGAAAATATGCTTGAATTTGATTAAATATCATTTATACCCTTGCAGGGTATTATAATTTTAGTCATAAGCTTGAAACATAGTGAAGGAATTATTTCCGACCCTATAAATCATATATATTCTTGATCAGCATCAGCAGCCCAATCAATCAAGACATCTCAGGCAGAAAAATAAAATTTTTAAATTTTTCAACATTTTTTTAAGGGGTTTCATCGTTAAGATTTCCAAAAAATATTGATAAAAATTAAAATTCTTTAATATTTTAAATTGAGTATACAGATTTATTAAACTATTAAAAACTAACATAGGACAGCTTTCCGAATTGAAATTATTGCTTTTTTGGCTTAGTTATGAGTTTTTAAAACTTTGATTTTTCGAAAAAATTGTCATATAAAAATATTGACAAATGGGAATATTTTAAACTAAGCTTTGATCGATTTTCGATTGGATCGAAATTCCATCAAAAACTAGAAAAGTTTATAAAATTCTGCTTTCCGAAGTTTGTTTTCTTTTCTGTTTAAAAGATTTTTATATAATTTCATATATTATTAGCATATTTTTATATATTTGTATATGTTTGTATATTTTTATATATAGTTATAATATATACATTATTATATTTATTATCATATTTTTCCCTGTGTTTATATGCTGGCAATTCCCTTTTGTTGTTCCCTGGTCTTAAATGCGGACATGTGTGAGTATTGTCTGTGTGTGTGTTGGCTCTTTGGCTAATTACATGCTGCTCACAGTGCCACAAGAGGTGGAAAAGGACGAAGAGGAGGAGGAGGAGGAGGAGGAGGAGGAGGAGGAGGAGGAGGAGGTGGAGGTGGAGGTTAAGGGCTGGGATGCTGGCTGCCGGCCAGGTTGAATTCGATCCGGGAATCGAATAAAATCGCGGCGAATCGTCGTCGATTCGGTTTGCTATTAATAGACGCTCATTATTGGCATTTTTGGCATTGGCCAAAGTCACACTCGTACTACACATGGAATAGTGTTTAGCGTGTGTGAGTGTGTGTGTTTGTGTGTGTTAACTCAATTGGCAGCTCTATGGCGCCAGTAAAGTCAGCTAAATCGTAGCCAAAGTGATGCTCGAGGGAAAAGTCCTTGAGGAAATAATAACAATATTAAAGATTTCAGTTGTCGGGTTTTTCTAAGTTTTCTACTATTTTTAGTAGCCTTAAAAAGGCGCCTGTAACTTTATATTAAATACATGATTATATATATAAATTTAACATTTCTTAAAGTATTTAAATATTCTTAACTTTTAACTTTTTATTTGATAAATTAAAAGAAATTACTCGGAAGGAATATAAATGCCTGCACCATGAATCCTTAGATAAGCATAAAGTCTCACCAATTTTTTAACTCCTGGACAAGGTTCGCATCTCAGGTCCTTGAGTTGAATTAAGCTCACACACACACACAGGAACGAAAGGAAAATCTTTTCTTTCTTTTCTTTCCTTTTGTGATTTTGATGGGCCTAATGCTTAATAACAATTTCATTTACATTTTCGGCACATTTCACATTGGCTTTTCGGGGCCCACGAGGCGTATGCGCAATGAACCCAGCCCCGAAAGGTATGCTCTCTTTTTTTATTGTGTTTTCTCTTTTTGCAGAACCTATTGTTCTGCCACCTAGAAAAGGGGTTTATATATATTATATTATATATATTTTTTTGTGTTTGGCTTCCTTTTCAATTCAATTCAATTAATTGAGACATTTTCATTTTGGGACACATTTTCGTGTACATATTTTTTGTCTCTGTTTCGGTTTGTGCTTGGGATTTGCTGCCTGGCATCGAGGAGAATATTCGCTTTGTCCCGACGGCACTGCAGTGTAATTATAATGCACAAAGGCTAATTAAAATGCGAATGGGGAAATATAGCAGCAACAGGGGGAAAAGTTTAACCTTTGGCATTGAGTTACCTGATTTGCATTTGTGTTTTTTTTATGCTGGGTAAAACAATACACTTATATTGATCAAGTGCTTTACTTTGAACGTTAATTAACAAAACAAAAAACAATGTCAAGCAGCTACATAGTTGAAAGCAAAAATAATCAAACCAAAAGTAGAAAGCATCAAGTCTCACTTTCATCGCAAAAAGAATAATGTTTTTTTTTTATGGAAAATAAGAATAAATTGTTGTATTCTATGGTCTTTTAATATTTGTATACATTATTTAATATATTTGTATTATTTTTTTATGTAATTTATAAAAAAAATTCAAGATATTTGATATTTACTTTCATTCAAAATAATAAATACTTAAATAATCCTATTAGGTTTTATGGAGCGACAAATTGATTCCATGTTTATCCTGACACTTTGCCATGTTTTCATTATTTTCTTTTTAGCTCTTTTTTGTCTCTGCTTTTGCCAGTTTTTACCATTTTTTTGTATCATTTTTTTTGTTCTTTTTTTTATCAGCAAATTTACACAATCAAAGTAAACAAAAGTTGTGGCCCGCAAAAATCAAGCTCAGCTGTGGCAAACTTTTGCAGTTGATTTAAATTTGTGCTAACCGAATTTGATTGCTGGAAAGTTGCTGTCGCAGCCTGGGCACAGTGACCGCAAAATGTCAACAGCAGCACAAGCTGCGAATATTTAAAGACACTGTAAGAAAAATTCCTATAAATCCTTAAAATATAAAATTAAATCTAAGGCTGTCGCAATACAAGAACTTTAAACTTGTTTCAAATAATTCCAGAAGATTTAGATCATTTATTTAAAATCCTCCCAAGATATATTATATTATAATTTTAAATTTCATTAAATTAATCCGATTTAATTTTTTTAATTATTTTCCAGAGAGTCCAGCAGAGACATAGAGGTTGGTCAAGATGCGTCGCTCCTCGTTTACGCCCGTTTTCAACCTGAGCACCCAGGAGCCACTGATCGTGGTGGAGGAATCGCATGCCCCCGAGGATGGTGATGATTTGGAGGGCGCCATCGGTGGCTGTGATCCTGCCGGTGGCACAAAGCGTTCCAATAGCGATGATTCGGAGCCGGATTCACCGGTGAATCCGTATTTGCTTTGCCCCTTCCCCGACATGCAGCAGAGGCGAAAGCATTCGCTGCCCTCGCTTCAGATCACCGAGGGCATTACCGCCAGCCAGGTGCGACGTCTGTCGGAGGTTGGCGGCGAGACCGGCGGTCTCAGTCCCAAGGAGGTGGAGTTCCTGGCCACGCTCTCGCAGAAGGCCAATCCAACGGCCGGCGGAAGACGACATTCGGTGGTCACCATTTCGGCTGTTCCACCGACGCTCTTTGGTCGCAATCGGCGAGAGTCCATTTCCGGAGTTTCCTTTAGGTAAGGCTCTCTCATTCTCTCTTTCTTTCTCCCTCTCTATTTCCCTTTCTCTTTCCCTCTTTCCCTATCACTATCCCTCCCTCTCTCTCTATCCCTCCCTCTCTCCCTCTCTCTCTATCCCTCTTGTACTCTCATTGTCCATAGAGTAATACTCCTGCTTTGGTCATGTCCGGCGCCATTAGCCAACCGGAAGTGTAGTGTAGAGGACACGGAACCATAGTTACAACTTCTTTTGGTCAGGACACTAGGAAAAAAAACAAACAATTTAGGAAGAAGGAAAGAAAGAGGAAAAAAGGAAAGCTTTATGTAATTTTTAGTGTTTTATTGTAAGGACAACTAGACCTAAAATAAATAAATTAATAAATAAATTTTTACATGGAAATCTATGTGCATTAAATCGATAGTCAATCGATAGTTCAATATATCAAAAGATATTGAAATAAAATAATATAATAGTAAATAGGGAAAGATAAATAGTATACCATATTTTAAATATTGTTCGATTAAATCGATATTTTAACTTTAAATCAAACTTTAAACTTTAAAAGTTGATAGCTTTCAATATTGAATACAATATTTCTGTCAATATTTGATTTCCCCCACGATATATATTTGGAATATCGATACACATTTCGATATATAGGATACAAACATCAATAAAATGTTTTCAAGATCAATAAATAAGAGCTAAAGATGTTGATATATATATATTTTTGTGCAGAATATTATATCGGACTTTTATTCTCGATATATATATTATAAGAATATCGATATACTTCCTATATATTCCATAAACATATGATTACCTTGGACCGCATTCTTTTCTCTGTTAAACATATTTTCGGTAATGTTAGAGTCTCTTTTTGAACTCCCATTTATGGCTTAAAATTTCTCTCAGTGCCTTTGACCAGTCATCTCTTTTCCTTTTCCCATCACCGATTCTATGTACCGGGCCTAATTGAATTGCGCCGCCGGCTGTTTCCCAGCTTTTGTACTGTGACAGCCGCATTTTGATACCCTAATGGTAAAAGGAGGCGGCAAGGAATTCGAATTTGGTTCCGGATTGGAATTGGGAATGGAAAATAGGGGGCTGGTTGAGGATATACGTACATATAGCTAGAGGCATAATGAGATGAGATTGTCATAAACTGTGTCCGGGCATTGCCATATGAAATAACAGTGTCCCAATAATGACTCCAGTCATCGATGCGGAGATGCAATAAAATCCCTGGGATTATATAGAGGGTGCAGCCTACATTTTTGGGAAAAGCTTTTATGCGAAAATAAGAGAAAGTCACATTTGTATTTGTATTTTTATTGAAATACGAATCAATTCTCTATTTATCTAAAACTTATACATCTATATAAAATTAAATTAGTATTGTAAATGAAGGAAGAGTATTTGCTTACACATTTTTTCATATCATCTGACATATTTTATATTAAATGCTGTTTGCTATTTGTTATTTCTAAAAAGAAAAAGGTAACATTCACAACCTTTTCATTTATTTTAATGCTGATTAAATTAATTTTTAACATTTTTCTCAACGTTATACTTTTTTCGATGCTTTTCAAACTGTTTTTGATTTCATTTTAATTTATCCAAGTTTTAAAACAAACCCCAACCTGTACAAAGTCGTCCATCATTTGTCTATTTAATCAAAATTTAGTGCCTATTCTGAGCACATCCACATTACGTTTGTCCCTCAAGTTTTTTGTGTGTGTGTTGTGGGCCATGGTGTTCATTTAAATTGCATCCCACCCAGCTTCCTTGCTCGGTGCCAGCTTCCAGCTCCCAATCCCTGGTTCAGTTCTTCCTCCCGAGAACAATTTCCCCCGTGTCGCGTGTCCATTAAACGCCCAACGCACTTTACGAGCCCAAGTCAACCAATGGCAATGGGCAATGGGCAATGGAAATGGTACTAGAGTTGGCAAACGGGGACCACGGGGCGTATAATTTATGCTAAAGTGATAACCGCAGACCCATCAACCACTTACTATCTATGGGGGCAGCCTTTGCATTTTTCCTCTATTTTTAACAATCGTTTGTATTGCAGCTATATGATATAGTAGTCTGATTTTAAGCAAATTTTACACAAAACTGTAAAATAATATAAAATGGCTATATCTTAAATTTGATGAAAATCTGTTGAAAACTGGAAAAGTTATAATATTTTTTCTTAAAATGTTCCGATCGTTCCTATGGCAGCTATATATATGTATATATATATAGTCCACCGATTCGCCGTGCTCCGATTTATTTATTGGTAAAATTATATAGAAGAATAACTAAATAGTTTTATTGCTTGATCTTAAATTTGTTCCAAAAAAATCTCGCACATCTGCGCATATGATTCCCAACTTGTTCTAACATCCCCGGAACGAAGTGACTTCTGCCGGCCAGGTCCCAGGAATGTGTTGTGTTACAAAAGTTGCAAGTCATTGTTTATTAGTGTTCAAAGTTAGTAACTGATCATACATACATACTTACTGGTCATAGATACTTACTGTTCAGAGTTACTTAATGTTTATAGATACTTATTGTTCAGAGTTAGTTACTGCTCATAGATACTTAGTGATCATAGTTACTTACTGGTCACAGATACTTTGTGATCATAGTTACTTACTGCTCATAGATACTTAGTGATCATAGTGATACTTACTGTTTAGAGTTACTTACTGGTCATAGATACCTACTGTTCAGAGTTACTTAATTTTTATAGATACTTACTGTTCAGAGTTAGTTACTGATCATAGATACTTAGTGATCATAGTTACTTACTGGTCACAGATACTTAGTGATCATTGGTACTTACTGATCATAGATACTTAGTGATCATAGTTACTGGTTATAGATACTTACTGTTTAGATTTACTTACTGATCATAGTTAACTACTGATCATATTTAATTACTGATCATAGTTACTTAATGTTCATTGATACTTACTGATCATATATACTTACTATACATCAGTATTATATCGATCTATTCAGTTTCCCAATTTAATCATTACTTGATCGAGTTAAAATAGATTGAATAATATATTATTATTTACTTATGTAATCAATTCAATACTGTTTATTGATGTATACAAAGTAAAATTTAATATTTCTATTTCATAGTACAAAGTTATTACATTTCAGTCAAAAGCTTGAAAAGCATTGAAGGAGTCATTTCCGACCCTATAAATCATATATATTCTTGATCACCATCATCAGGAAAATCTTTTAAGCTATTTTTTTTGGTAATTTTTTTTTTTTTTAATTTTTCAAAATTTTTCAAGGGGTTTTATCGTTAAAATTTCCACAAAAAAAATTGAAAAATTTGAAATGTTGTTCAATTTTAAATTGAGTACACAGATTTATTAACCTAAGAAAATCTAACATAGGACAGCTTTCCGAATTAAAATAAATGAATTTTTGGCTTAGTTATGACTTTTTTAAACTTTGATTTGTTGAAAAAATTGCCATATAAAAATATTGATAAATATCGATTCAAAGAAGAATATGATATATAATAATTTCTGTTTAGTTATGAGCGATACGATCTTATGATTCAATGGCCAACTGCGGGAGTATATATATGTTGGCTTCCTGAAGTTAATATACTTTCTTCTTGTTCTTGAGAATTTAGTTTTGCTTTGATTGAATTATTAATTATATTTTTGGAAGACTTAAATTCAACAATTTTCAGTACTCTATATAGAATATATGTTGATAAAAGCAAATACTCTTTTCTATATTTAGATTTTGTAAAATGTATATTCCAATTTTCCTCAATCCTTTTATTAAATTCCATTAATTAATTATACTTTTGGAAGAATTGAATTCAACTAAATTCCTTGATATAAATAATTATATTTTTTACACACATATCAATCTATATAAAGATAATATATTAATAAAAGCAACACTTGTTGCTATTTTTTCGATTATTTAAAATTAATTTTCCATTTTTCCTTATCCTTTTTCCAGTGGCAGCCGCCGTGGCAGCGCCGTTGGTGGACCACCGTTGACCGATCATCGCGGCAGCATACACAACTTGCAGCTGGACATTATGGATGGCATTGTGCAGCAGCGGAAGACACGGAGCGGCAGCGGTGTGTGGACAGCGCCCGTTCTGCAGGAGGCCGACAGTAATGTGCCCGTGCAGACATAAGCGGCTGGCAAGAACATCAACGGAGGTGGGAGGTAGTGGACAGCAGGATGGCAGGATGGCAGGATGGCAAGATGGCAGGATGGCAGGAAGACAGCAGCAGGTTGGATATGGGATGGATTGGAAATTGACGATTTAAGGATTCGATTCGAGAGGGGAAAGGAGGAAGGCTTTTGGAGGGCAGATCGGCTGGAAGGGAGGAGGAGCAGGTGCAGCAGGAGCAGCAGCAAAAGGACGATGGTATGGTTTTTTTTGGGTGGACACTGAGCAATACAAACAAAACGCATGGATACTCCAAGCTGGACCTTTATTAACATTTCGTGCTCCACTCTCCCCACTCGCTCGCACTCCTCCTTTCCGCCGGGAAATTGCTTTTCGCGGCTGCCGCATAAAGCAAACAAACAAACCGCAAAACCGCAGCAAGCCCAATGGAAACAAAGAGAGGAAAAACGCGGAAAATCGCACGGAAAATGAACGAGAAGAGAGGCAGAGGTGGAGAGAGAAAGCTGTGAAAAAATATAAAACTTCGAAAATGGAAAAACTGCAGTTAAACAAAGAGCCAGCGAGAAGCAGTTTAAGATGAAAAGAATTGTTAACAAAAAAAAAAAGAGAGAGAGAAAGTGGAAACCAACCAAAAAATGAAACAAAACCAAAAAGAGAAACAAAGTAAAACCAAAACGAAATGCAAATAGTAAGAAAAACTGAAAATTTCGGTTAACACACACACACATACACACCTGTGCCAAGTGCCACGCCTCAAATCAGCACCTCGCCCACCATTACCGCCTGAGGAAATACCCGCCAGAATATATATATTCGTAAAAGAAACAAACCCCATAACCATAAAATTTAATTGGAGTGTTAAAGAAGCGTTTCGAGGTAAACCCAAAATAGCGCAAAACAAAATAAAAAAAAAACATGACTAATTTCGCGAAACTTGAATGTTTATAACCGAGAAAATTGGACAGCAACAAAAATGAACAATTAACAGCGGTGAGTGTGGAACATATTCTCAAATTTTATTATTATTTAATTGATTTCATTTAAAAGTAATTTTTGTTATAAGTTAAACATTTACATTGATATCTAATTATCCAAATATTATGACCAATTTTCATTTTATATTTTTTTAATAACTCTTGTAGAGTTCTTTTTTAATAGAAATTTATTTCTGCTTATTTTGACATTGAATATACAACACTTAGAAGAGGTTTTTAAATGCTTTTGATTAAAAATTTGTATCAGGAACTATTATTTATGATTATAAGACAAATGGAATCGTAAGGCTGTGCATTTTTTAGGGTATATTCAACCTTAGAAAATGTATGTACTAACAAATCTATTTGTCTTTAAATCTAAAACAAGAAATACTCTCTCAACTGTCTTGCTTTATTTTTATCTTATAAATATAATTGTCTTAAAATCTTAATTCTTCTAAAGAGCCAAGAAGTTAACTCTTAACTTTGTTACTCCATTTTGTTATTTATATTTGAAACTGACATATTATATTATTTTAAAGCCTTCTCTTATGGATACTTATTTTTTCTACTTTACTTTTATTTATCAATTTTTGTTAAGAAATGTTTAATATAAATTTTAAGACAAATAGAACTTGTCAGACAAACAATTTTTTAAGGTTAATTAGACTTTAGAAAATTCCTTGTCTTATAAATCTATTTGTCTTAACATCGAATCTCTTCTAAAAAGCGAAGAAATTTTCTCCTAACTGTCTTATTTCATTTTGTTATTTATATTTCAATCTGAACTATATGTTTGATATTAATTTATTTATATTTTTTTGGTAGTTTTCATTAAGCTGTAATATTTTTCTCTAAACTTAACTTAAACCTTTTTTATTTGATAATGATGATGAGTAATGAGTGATTTTAAGTATATTTTTAGTTGCTCATTTCATTGTTCTTTCTCCGTTTTTCCTTTTTTTTTTTTTTGCTGCTACTTTTTTCCCACATTATTTTTAACATTTGTCATTTTGGGCTGTGTGAAATTTTAATGAACCGGGCAGCTGCACATAAAAAACACACGCCGAACACGTACATAATGAAATGCAGCTTGGGCCTCAAGGACGAAAGCAAGAGTGAGAGGGGAGTGGGGTTGGGCTTGAAATGGGGGCCAAGGACGCAGCCCTGAACTCTACTCCTCGGCCTCGCAGCTTCTCTATCTCTCTCACCCTCTCTCTCTCTCTGTCTATCTCTCTCCCTTTCTCTGTCTCCATCTCACTCTTCTCCTCGGGCCAACGTGGCGTATGAGTAATATTTTGCAGCAACAGCTGCATCAATGACAATGCCAATGCCACGGCCAAAGGATGCTGTTGGCTGCGTGAGGGGGGTTGGGTTGGGTTGGGTTGTGTTTTTAATGGCTTGTCCCCTGGCCGATTTAACCCTCCAATGGCCACGCCCCACCACCCCCAACGCCCCCATTTTGCAGCTCAATAAAGCTAATTTAATGTGGGCGGACTGCGCTTAATTGAAACGCGTGTTAGTTTGCATTGCAAACCCACTCATTGCCCCGGAAACTAATTATAGAAAATCAAAATGCAATTGCCAGTTGGCCAACTGAACTCCGTTTTAGCCAAAATGCCGTTGGCCAAATTGGTGAGGAGGTGGGGTGGGGGATGGAAATTATTGGTTTTGGTTTTCGGTATTAGTTTGTGTTTGCCAAACAATACATAATCGTGTAAGGCAATTTTATGCTTGAAGACGCGATTAATAAATACTGAAAGAAATTTATATTATTATTTTGGTGTACAAAAATTATTAACGACGATTTTGGGCAGGGTTTTCAAGAATTTGTATTTACTTTTAGGTTGAGTTTTAATTTACAACAAGAAAATGTATTTTAAAAGTGGATTATTGTTTGGGAATTTGAATATATTGTATTTAATATCTTGTATTTAATGTAATTCAGTTTATTTTGGCATTTAGCTTGGTTTTTATAAATTTTTAAATCTTTTGAATGATTTTAAACATCATAGAAAATTAAACACACATTTTCTTTTTAATTTATGTAATTTTTAATCAATTAAACAACAAACTTCATGTTGTGTTACATTTGCTTTTATTTATTTTCAAATAATTAAAAGTTTTTCCTTAAATTTTCCTTTGAATTTTTATTAAAAAGTAACTTCTGAAGTAAATAAAAATTTTTTCACTCTCTCTTCAGGTTCCATCAGCAATCGATTTAAAAATTAAATATATAACTCTATTTAATCAGTAATAAACTAATACATGAAATTAAATCAATATATTGTATATTCAGGAATTGATAAATTAGTGAATAACTAACAATGTCGACACTATTTACTTAGGAACTATATAGTTACTCCTACTTTTTTGAATGTTGTGTAGACTCGTGAACCACCGCCAGAAGAAACCACCAAAATGCAGACACTAAGAGTTAATACAATCCCACAGTCTATACATATATCTGAACATTCGAATTCAGAGACATTTCTGTTCCTCAACCCCCGACAAAAAAGATTGATTCAATCAACAAGTGCAATCAGAACAAAACCAAAAAGAAAAAATCCAAGAGAGTTGATAAATGTACCAGGTACCTTAAAGAAAACATAAAACCAAACCCTAACATTTAAAGCGAGAGAAAAACCCTAGGCTAAGACTCTGAGATTTATCCGTAATGAAAATGGAAAGTCAACTAAATAAAAAATCAACTATTTTTGAACTTGGCTTGCTGCTTGCCCAGCCCAGCAAGTTAGCCAGCCTTTAGTTCAAAGTAACTCCCCAAAAAATGTTTCCCAAAATAAAATACTTTTAAATATATACACGGATTAATGTTGAAACCTTGGGGGTTACTTCAATTTTATTTCCGGTTTTTTGACTAGAAAATGTTCATATTTTTTGTGTCATTTTTGGTGCATTTTCTTTGGCGATTCAAACTTCAAAAAGAAACAAATTAAAATTGAAGAAACCATCAAGCTCTCAAGTCGATGGCGTTTCCCTTTACATAAGTCTCGATGTTGTTATTGATTATAGAGTATATATATGATTATATACCATAATAAGCTTTAGATTGTACATAAACACAAACTCGGGTTTGCGCCTTCTTTGCACTCCAAGAAAAATGAAGGAAAACTAAGCACTTTTAGCCACTCCCAACCCCCGGAAAATGAATCTCCCCAAAAAAAACGAAGTTATCCAAAGAAAAGTCCCAGGCCTTCCTCTCTATTTTGACTTGAGAAAATGTCGCTGGACGACGAAGAAAATAAACAAAAGGGAGAAAACAAAAAAAGAGAAAGAGTATAAATGAAAAACTAGAACATTTTTTTATTATTAAATATAGTCAAAGATAATCAGCACAAGAAGTTGGAAAATCGGGGAAACTAAAACCGAGAACCGAGTATCGGAGTAAATTATTATGAAAACGTAATGATGTAAAAGATATATTTATAGAAATGAACTATATGTATACATAATGACAGATTGATTATATGATTATATAGTAACTTATTGTCACAACGCAAGAGCAATCAATGTTTAACTTTATTAAATGTTACAAAGAGTTTTAAAATATTACTATATATACATACAAAAATATACATATATCTATATATATATATACAGATATACATATATTGCGAATTATATTCTATATATATATATAATTTCTAGGTAAAGCTAAACTGAACAAAACACTAGACGTACTTGTAGTTCCCATTATGTTTGCCAAAAAATAAAAGCAAGTTTAGGAATGAAGATGATGAAGTTGTGCCAGCCGAAAGTGTACATCATTTGTACATCACAGGATGTATGACTGTTTTTCTTTCACTTCTTTTAAAGGAAATTATATAGAAAAAACTTGTAAGTCTGTGGTGTTTGCCAAATGAATTTTTTTGATAAACTTTATTAGTTTTCACATATTTCTTGTTTTTGTGAATTTATTTTAATGTTAAACCTTACATCAAGGAGTTGATCCTTGGGCTGGCACTCTTCATTCACTCTCTGTTTTATTTTGTTAGTTTAAAAATCGTTTTTTTTTTTTTTTTTTTTTTTGGTCTTAGCAATACGAATTCAACAACAAAAAATTTAAGAAAAAAATTTAACTATATGTGTGTGTCTCTGTCTCTCTCTCTCTGTCTCTATTGTGTTTGAGATTACTCGTATATTATAATGAATAATGAATATTATTATTAAACTAAAGCAAATGAGAAGTATGAAAGCAACAGCGTCGACGGAATGTAAAACCACAACAGAAATTAAAATTACTAATTATAACGATTACTTACATTAGAATTAAGCAAACAATGATTAAATAAAGAAAACGATTTCCTTAAATTAACATTGATCTAACAGTAATTTTGTAAATTTCAAAAGCTTTTCGCAGGCGGCGAAAGTCTTTGATAACAGTGAGCTTTTTTGGGGGTTGTTATTTAACGGTGAAAGTATAGTCTTAGTCAGCTTAAAGCTCCCTAAAATAAGCTATATAACAAAATCAAGTCAAGTCTTAAACGAAAGCTTTGGTTTAAGACTGGCTAAAAGCCATTTATTGTTAGCTTTTTAGCTTTTTTTAAAGCAATTTTGGAGCGTGTTTTTCTTTATTTACACTCTTTTTATTCCGGAGATTACGTGTAACAATTGCC